AGTGGTACCCCCGTGTCTCTGGCAAGTGTTACTCTTCGCGCAAAGGGTTTATACCTAGATAAACGAATGCTTCGACTGAGGTCTGGGAACTCTATGGTATTTTGGAATTATAAAGAATGTGTGCTTTTGTTTTAACAATATTGGTTATATTTAGATGTATTCTTATTATTTGAAATACAGATTTGTAGAAGTTATACTTTGACAGTTTTTATTAATATAATATATTCAATTTTTATCTGACCATACCGAAGTAGGAAATTTTAAAACCTTATAGTAATGTGAAATTTGAATTACAATATTACAAGATATAACATAATTAGTACTTATTTTAGGTAGGTACTAAATTTGTACTTGGAGAAAGTAATATCGATTTTTACAAGAAAACTTGAAAAGTAAACTAATTTAATTCCTATTTCTGATGTAAAACTTAAACCAAGAAAACAAATAAATTGTAGTTTGTTCAACAAGGGTGGATGTGATAGCCATATCACACAAAGACGAAGTTTGAGCACGACGTCGTAGGCGGAGAACTCAATCGTCTGATTGTGATATGAACAATCTACTCGATATGGTCAGTATATTTTTTCTACGACCCACTAACGAAAATCTACAAATTTAAAAATTATTTTAGGTTATTTAGACAAAATAACTAATTTTAAAATAATTTACGAAGTTGACTAATTTATAAAATAAAATAAACATGAAAAATTAATTAGTCCTCGGCCTAGATTCGATCCCGGACTTTTCGCGTGGAAGGCAGATGCTCTGTCTTCATCTTCACCGAAACTTTCAGGACTTTAGTTTTAATACTCGTAATTAAATTAGTATCATGTAGTTTAATTAAAATTTATTTTTTTTTAAATGTGGACACAATAGAAACAAAAATGCTATTATTTATCGAGTCTGCACAAAAATTTTAATGTATATTTAATATCAATAACTAAAATATATATTGACAATTAGTTTAACAGAATTGTCACTTATTTAAAAAATTTTAAATAATAGGAGTTGGGTGACCAAAATATGAACTGTGATTTGTAGATTTAATTTTGTTAAAGTGTTCTTACTACCTAAAATGGATATGAAATATATTCGTAGTTGAACACAATAACATACTTTTTCGTTTTGTAGTATGTGCGTAGATTGGCTAATATCCAGGCACAGATTACAAAACGAAAAAGTATGCTATTGCCTTCAATTGAACGAATATATTTCATATCCATTCTAGGTAGTGAGAACACTGCAAAAAAAATAAATTCGCCAATCACCGTTCATATTTTGATCAACCGACTGCTATTATTTTTAAAATTTTAAATAAATGACAATTCTGTCAAACTAATTGTCAGTATATTTTTTAGTTATTGAGATTAAACATACAATAAAATAAGTTATTCTTTTGGAAAACGTTAGCATGGATGACTAAAGGGTATTGGGTTAATTAATTCTAAAAGTTTGGTACAAATGTTATTTTTTGTAGCCAATTCTTCAAAATTATTTTGAAATATCTTTTCAATATTGAATATTAGTTCTACAAATTCATTATTTGACAGTTGCAGATTTCCAAATGTATCTGAATTGGCGTTATCATATGCCTTTAAAAAGCAATAAAAAGAAAAATCATCTATTTCAACGTGATCTTTGTTATATTTAAGACAGGTATCGCAGGAGTGGATCCGCAAGGCTTTTATTAAAAGGTAACCACACACATACCTGATAAAAATTTTCTGTAGCAATTCGTCTTTACAATAATTTAGGGTGTTAATAATTTCATCATAAAATAAAATACAAGGTGTTCCATTTAAAAAACATACATTTTAATTTGCCAGGCAAAAACGTGACACCCTGTATATCCAAAGATATTTTTAAAATATGTAGGTATTTTTCAAATCCATATAACTTTTATTTAAAACTTTCTTGCGTGTCTACAACAAAATAATGAACAATAACGCACTAATGGGACACCCTGTATAAATTATATTTTTAACAATGAAAATTTCTTATAATGTGGTACTTATCGGTTTGGGTCCTTGGGAAAACTAAAGAATGTTTTCTTGCAGGTATAACCCTTATTAAAACAGCTTTTGACTGCACAAACAGAATGATGTCTTTTTTTTCATTCATTCTACTCACAGCTAAAGAGTCACCAAAATAATAACAGTACCTTTAACTCAAACAAAATCTACGAAATTATAGGCTCCACGAAATTATACAATCAACGAAATTATACGCACGACTCAACACCTTACCTAAGTACACTTCTGAACGCCAAAACCGTCTTTTCCCTTCGAAGGCGGAGCTTAAGCGATGCGCGACGAAATGGACACAAACCGTTGCCGCCAAGAGAGTGTTTTAGCTGTATTGTATAAGCTGTGGTAGTATTGTAACATCGAAATCGATTAATCGAACAATCGATTGTTTTCTTTCGATTGTCGATATTTTTTAATCGATTGTAAGGGTTTCGATTAATTAAAAAAATCGATTTTTTAAAAATCTATTTATTTATTTATTCTCATGACGCATCCGCATTGCTTCAAAAAAAAAATTGGAAAACGCTTTGATGAATTGCCAATGATTTTGAGTGGAGATTTCAACATTGATTGATTGATTTATCTGAGAGATAAACTTTTTAATGTAATATAATGTAATTTAATGTAACATAAATTGTAATGTGTGTGTATGATAGCGCAATAAATATTGTATTCTACCACATAAATGATAGTACTTTTATATTGATAATAAAAGCAATTCGTTCAAAATTATTCCCTAACTATTCCAAAAAATAAAAAATGCACAGCGTTAATCAAATTTTCACTTCTGCCGGCACTCCCGGAGTGAAACCAGTGTTTTTTTTTGTTGCTATATAGTAACTCAAACTTAAATAAAAAACCTGTGGTAGGAAAAAGATTGGATCATCCCTTGGATACCGGAATGAAAGAGAGCTCTCACGTCACCCCTGATGTAGTTTGGGTAAGTGATTTGGTTTCAATCGTTTTTTTTAACCGTTTTATTTTTTTTTTAGTCATTTTTTTAACTATTACTTAGAACTATTTTGAAAGACATATTTTTCTTTGCCTTCTGGTTAGGCTATCAACTGTTCCTACTTGCGGGAACGTACACGGTACCAAAGATGAATATTCTAAAAGTATTAAAATGTTCTAAAAAGTTTTGTCCTAAATAAACAAACTAATGTTTATACCAACTTTTGATGGTCCTATCTGACATATTATGCTAACGTAAATTGTCTGTAAGTAAAAAAAAAACGAAATTAGGACATTTTAAACTAAGATTTTATGAAAAGCAAACAAACGACATAAATAATAAATATATGACAGACTAAAAAAGAAAGAAAGAAAAAGGGGATTTTTTTATTTTCTACTTTTAAAAAAACTGTTATTTTCTATAATAGTTTTTACTTACTTAAAATAATAATACGATTTAAAAAGTCAATTTTTTACGGTAAACATACATAGAAAAAAAATCTTCTATAAATGTACAGCTTAATTTCGGCCACCATCAATAAAATGAATAAAATCCATTAGTATCCGAACTCTCTTAATGTGAGCTCTTAATTTAATTGCATTCTGGGGATTTCTGTTTGTTTTTGCTATCCCACATCCCACTCATTTTGATGGCGGCTACTTTTTCGGGATAATTATACGATGGAGTCAGCAAATGTAGTGTTTACAAACTGAAATTCTCATCGAATTCTATTATAACATTAGCGAAATTTTGTATATAACCAGGCAATTTTAACTGAATATCACACAAGCATAAAAACATTCAAATGGATAATGGCATTGGTTTAAGATTTATGTTTATTTATGTATATGAAAGAACGAAAATTTTAATGGAAAAAAGAAAAAACATTGGCTATCTAAATCAAACCCTAGTTCTTTAAATTTTTGAGTATTGACACCACTCGGATGAATGGGAGAGTGACAAAAAGCTGGAAGCTCTGCATAAAAAAGAAAGTTGGGGGTCTAATCTTACCTCCAAATAAGAAGAATAGTGACATAAAATGTTGCTCACTTCTAGTGCCAATAGGTTTTCAGCAAATTCAAGAGGACAATAAACCAGAATGAAAATATTGATGTATTATATTTAATTAGATTTTTTTCAGAATTAATAGGCTTCCTACCCTTGTAAAGATTTTAATTTGATATCGTTTTTGTTCCTCATTTATGGGTTTTTTCAATATTTCAGCCCCTTCTTATTTCCCTATTTTTATTTATTCATTCTTTTATAGAGCTTGATTTTTACTGAACATTTTGTGTTAATATCGCTTTTGGTTTTTCATTTTCTTTTTTATTTTAACCCCCTTGTCCCTATTTTATTTAATAGTCTTTGCCCCCTTATAGAGCTTGATTTTTGATAAAAATTTCAAGTTCGTTTTTGAGATAGCATTTTTTAAAACATGGGAACCCCCATTTTTTTTTTTTCAGAATCAATGGCCTTTATCTCCTTATAGAATTTTATTTTTACTAAAAATTTCATGTTGATATTGCTTTTTGTTTTTTAATTTGGATTTTTTTAATTTAAACCCTCCTTAAACCTCCCCATTCTTAATCAGATTTTTTTAAAATCAAAACTTCTTCCCCTCTTTCCCCCTTCCCCCAATATTTTTTGTTTTTGAGGCAGGATTGTTTTGACATTTTAGCCCCCCTTCAGAATAAATAGGTTTCATCTTTTAATAGTGTTTGATTTTTACTAAAACTTTTATGTTCGCTTTTGATTTTTGATTTGTTTTTTTTTTTAATTTCAAACCCCCCTTTACCCTCCTTAACCCCCATATTTAATTAATTAGATTTTTTTTAAATCATTTTGTATTCCATCTTGTATTTTATTATTTATTTTACTTTGTATTTTATTTTGTATTCCATTTTGTATTACAATTTGTACTCTATTTTGTATTCCGTTTTGTATTCTATTTTCTGTTTTATTTTGTTTCATTTTGTATTCCATTTTGTATTCATTTTTGGATTACATTTTGTATTTTTGGATTATATTTTGTATTCAATTTTCGGTTTCATTTTGTATTCCATTTTATATTCCAAGTACTGCATTTTGTATTCTATTTTGTATTCTATTTTGTATTCTATTTTGTATTCTATTTTGTATTCTATTTTGTATTCTATTTTGTATTCTATTTTGTATTCTATTTTGTATTCTATTTTGTATTCTATTTTGTATTTTATTTTGTATTCTATTTTGTATTCTATTTTGTATTCTATTTTGTATTCTATTTTGTATTCTATTTTGTATTCTATTTTGTATTCTATTTTGTATTCTATTTTGTATTCTATTTTGTATTCTATTTTGTATTCTATTTTGTATTCTATTTTGTATTCTATTTTGTATTCTATTTTGTATTCTATTTTGTATTCTATTTTGTATTCTATTTTGTATTCTATTTTGTATTCTATTTTGTATTCTATTTTGTATTCTATTTTGTATTCTATTTTGTATTCTATTTTGTATTCTATTTTGTATTCTATTTTGTATTCTATTTTGTATTCTATTTTGTATTCTATTTTGTATTCTATTTTGTATTCTATTTTGTATTCTATTTTGTATTCTATTTTGTATTCTATTTTGTATTCTATTTTGTATTCTATTTTGTATTCTATTTTGTATTCTATTTTGTATTCTATTTTGTATTCTATTTTGTATTCTATTTTGTATTCTATTTTGTATTCTATTTTGTATTCTATTTTGTATTCTATTTTGTATTCTATTTTGTATTCTATTTTGTATTCTATTTTGTATTCTTATTTGTATTCTATTTTGTATTCTATTTTGTATTCTATTTTGTATTCTATTTTGTATTCTATTTTGTATTCTATTTTGTATTCTATTTTGTATTCTATTTTGTATTCTATTTTGTATTCTATTTTGTATTCTATTTTGTATTCTATTTTGTATTCTATTTTGTATTCTATTTTGTATTCTATTTTGTATTCTATTTTGTATTCTATTTTGTATTCTATTTTGTATTCTATTTTGTATTCTATTTTGTATTCTATTTTGTATTCTATTTTGTATTCCATTTTGTATTCTATTTTGTATTCTATTTATTTTGTATTCTATTTTGTATTCTATTTTGTATTCTATTTTGTATTCTATTTTGTATTCTATTTTGTATTCTATATTGTATTCTATTTTGTATTCTATTTTGTATTCTATTTTGTATTCTATTTTGTATTCTATTTTGTATTCTATTTTGTATTCTATTTTGTATTCTATTTTGTATTCTATTTTGTATTCTATTTTGTATTCTATTTTGTATTCTATTTTGTATTCTATTTTGTATTCTATTTTGTATTCTATTTTGTATTCTATTTTGTATTCTATTTTGTATTCTATTTTGTATTCTATTTTGTATTCTATTTTGTATTCTATTTTGTATTCTATTTTGTAATCTATTTTGTATTCTGTTCTATATTCTATTTTGTATTCCGTTCAGTATTCCGTTTCATATTTCGTTCAGTGGTGAAAATAAATATCTTTGATTTTTTTCAGATGCGATAATAATTTCTAAAGAATTTTGAAAAATATTGAAGCATCATTTCAGAAGATTAGTATACAAATATATTTTAATAAAAAATATACTCTTTTCAAATTATTCAAGATAGCTTCTTGACAAATAAATGCTACATCAACCAACTATTGATAACTTTTTGTAAGTGGACATTTCAATCGTTTTATGTAAACCTTTTTCTCAAATGAAAATACGGATATATAAAACTTTCTTCAAATAAAATAAAAAGTATATATTTATATGTCTACCTATCTACCAGAGAAGTTAAGTATTACACTTCCATATAAACTGGAAACCATGTATACTTTTTATAAGCAAATAAAAAACATCTACTTTAAATTTCGAAGAAGCTACAACGACATTCATTTCGGTTTAACGGATTAGAATCCTGGAAGTTGAAAAGAGAAATAAAAACGGAAATACATACAAAACGTTAGCTGTTCAAAAAGCTTTTCCAAATTCACTCGCATCCTGCATTTAATTTAAAAAAAGAATGGGAAAATCATTTCTGTATACACCTGTTACTGAAAAACATAGTTTTGCGTAGTACAGTTGTTAATTTAAATTTATTCTAAATTTTGTTATGAAACAATTTACCAATTTTAAAAAAAATTGTATATAGGAAAATTTTGTGTATCTGTTCTAGATCCAACGTTAAACTTACAACAAAAAGCTTGTTTTTTTACAAGAAATTTGTGATGAGTTTTTAATATTTTTTAAGACAATACTATCACGCTTTATTTTTCGAAATTTGTGTGTTTTATGATTTCTTTGACAGCTACCTTATATATAATTCAATACGACAATAATAGCAGCTGAATTTTGTTTTATATTTCTTTTATACAAGTCCTCTACAATATTGGTAGTAAATATTAATGCACAGTTAGGCGTAACTGTCAAGCCAATATAACAAATGTTACGTGTGCACTCATCATAATAGAAATATCTCTTATTAAATTATTGATATCAACGTTTAAGTAGTATTGTGTATATTTCGTATACACATTAAATTAGTACATTAAGTAACAAATTATACGAACGGAAATTCATTCATTAATATTCATATCGACTGAAAGGGATGTTACTTGATATATGTTAATTTCTTAGGCACCCTATGGGAATCTATGCTAGTTTATTTCACGTTTTAATTCAAATATTGTCAATAAATAAATTATAATACGGGACACGATAATTTTCAGTGTCAAGTTTTGTGAGTCGTTCAGTTTGGTTCCGAGTTCCAGGTAATGGTATCGTTGTACGAGGTGCTTTCGTTTGACTGTAGGGTTAGAAGATTTTTCGCAACCGATGTGGTATCTATTTTTGTCAATAACAATTTCCAAATGTAAATAGTCTCTTAAGATATGTACTGGTAAATTGTTAAAGATGAATTTCTGAACCCACATCTGAAGGACATCGTGCCATTTTTGTTGGTAACTTGCTTCTGACAGGTGCTTTTGAGAGGGATAGAAGACAAGAACCCTGAGGGGTAAAATCTGTATTTTATATAGCTATCGAGTTATCCTGAGGAGGATTACGAGTAATTCTAGAAATACATTGTTGCCAGAGATAATTATTTTTTTTATTCTATGATTTATTTAAAAGTAATAAATTATTTATAGTATTTTAATAATATTTTATTGGACGTAACAATAAAACCATGTAATTTTAATAAATTATATATTAAATTTGATTGGACAAGTAGAGCTATCTCTTGAGTCAGAAACGAATAAGGTATATTCATACAAACCTTAAAGAAAAAAAAAATGGGGCATGTTCAAACATTTTGAAATTTTTTTTTTATGAATAGTAGAGTTAAAAATAAAACTACATTTTTTTTATTTTTTTTTTATCTATTCATTTGCCGGAGTTATGAATTTTTTTTAAATTTATGACGTCACCGGGAATAGACCAATAGGAGCTAGCGCACAACGTTGCCGGCTAGAAGGTTTACGAGAAGTGATGTACGTTCGTTTGTGTACTCCTTCTTACTTTTAGACTTCTAAAACATCGTTAAACAAATGTCTTTTAAATATATAATATCAAATGTTTTTTGAAAGTATTGTTTCTGTTTAAACTTTTACTATATTTAAAGTTTTATTGTTTTAAAAGTCACTTAATAATTCAGAAAATGGCAAAACGGCAGCACTGTATGTCATCTGTCATAGTGTCTCGATCAATAATTTATTTGGAATTTGAATGTTTATTTTGTACTTTTTATAAATACCTAAATATTATGACTACGAAAAAGTGTTTTGTTCCAGAATGTGATAATGATTCACATTCATCTTCAAAAATATTTATTAGTGTTCCTAGAAATGTGGAAAGAAGAAAATCAACCTTCTACTAGCGATGTTTCTCGTAAACTTTTTAATAAAAATACACCGGATTATCAAGATGTAGCAGCAATTTCTGCTAATTGTCCCCTTCAGGAAATTGAAAATGAGGCTACTATAAATTCTTAGGTGTATAACCTAAAAACCCTTCTGGAAGAAAATGCAGAATCTCCTGAAAGTTTTGAAGATACCGAATTTATTCATCATTTTGTGGAAGAACTAGTGATAAAGAAATAATAGAAAAATGTGGGTATTTAAACAAACTGGTTCCTGAATCCCATATAATGGCAGATAGGGGTTTCAGAATATTTAGTTACTTGAAAACATGGGATGCACTTTAGTAAAGCCACACCTAGTGTATCACAGAATGAAAAAAGTTCTCCAGAAGATGTACAATTAAGTAAAAGAATAGCATCTCTAAGAATACATGTGGAAAGAGTTATAAGAAGGGTTAGTTAATTTAACAAGTTAAAACCACATTCGTGTGTGAATTTTAAGCAAGTACATTTACTTAGTAATATCTGCATAATTGCTTGTTAACTTACAATAACCTATTTTGTAAGAGTAAATATTAATTTAATAATTTTGTTTTGTTTGTTTTTTTAATTTAATTTACCTAATTATCACATTTCAGGGATTATAATGAGTTTTTAAACAGCCAATGTAATTTTTTATAAAATTTTAACTTTTCGAACAAATCAAAGAGGAATGAGTACCTGTATATGCATAGATTTTTTTGGGACTAAAACTACCAAAACAAAGGCACCTATTTACAGCAGTTTAAAATGAAACATTTTGACAAAAACGCCTATGTCACAGTGACAAATATTAAAAAAAACCAAGTTCAGTTGAATGTGGTAGCAAAGTCTATATATTCCAATAAATCGGGTAACTACATGTGGTATCACTGGTGATAAATTTAAAAATATCACAATTCTTGCTACCTTTTTCAAAAAACCAGAAAGTGTGCCTTCTTATCAATCCTTTATGAAAATGACAACAGTGATAAATGTAAAAAAAAAAATTAATATTGCTATTCGTTATTACGATAGTAAAACATGTTTGCAGTTCCGTTTATTTTTTATGAAAATCTAAGTAAAAACAACCAATGTCAAAGGGTTATAATTTTTTTTCTGTTGAACCAAACATATCACAAAATTTAAAAATTGATCATAGGTCAAGCTAAAGTAATACCTTTATTGATAGTAGCTTTAAAAAAGGAGAAAGAATAATATTGACTTAAATTATTATTATTAACATTGGTGATTTTTAATAAAAACTCTTCAATTATTGTTTACAAACAAAAATATAAAAATCTGTGAAAATTTTATTTATTAATTTTTTAATAAAAAATGAGAAAAATGAAGTAAAAAACAATTTATTTACAAATAAAAAATATATATACAAATCCTAAGAATATAAAAATCCTAAGAATATAAAAGTACTGATTTATTTTCCTGTAGTGGATGAAGAGGTTTCTTTTACAATCTAGTCAAGTGTACATCAATATTTACGCATTTTGATAAATTAGAGCCTTTCCAATAATACTGAATAGATATTACAGATGGTTCCTCACTTCTTCTATGAAGCCACATATTTACAACCAACTGTTAAAAATATAAGGGTTAGATATGCAGTTACAAAATAACTATATAACCAGCTACAAAATGCCTTTATTTTATGTAACAAGACGAGCAGAGCTTTACTAGCTCTGAACGAATCCAGTAAAGAACCTCGGATTTTCAAAACTTAAAAAAAAAACAATCTCAGCACATTTTCACATTTTTGAAATATTATAGAGCTTTTCGAAAAAAACTGCTATTTTTAAAAATACAATTTTTTGTTTAAACAGCTATGTCTCATTTTAGGCTATTCAGTATTATA